GTCATTGACTCCTGCCTGCAGGCCCTGACTGGGGCCAGGACTGGGGGTGGACTTATGTCAATCACAGAGATAGATTCATACACGGAACAGTCCTCTTTGCCCATCAGGTCCATTCCCGTTTTACCCTGCTCTGTGCCCCAGGTGGCCCATATCAATGGACGACATTACCCAGGAGTCCTTCCACTCTGGCTTCTGGTTGAACTTGGCCATTAAGAGGCTCCATCCCCCTTTCCCTCTCTTTGCCTGTTTCTTTGTCTCTCTGACCCCCTCTTGGAGCTGCGTGGTTGTCTCTCTCTTGCCACGTGGTCTGTGGTCTCTGCTCACCCTAAACTTCACAGCCCGATGTTCCTCCTCTCCAGGCCTGTGACTGAAGTTGGTTGCCCGGCCCTGCATGACCCCTCAGTCCAGCACTCAGCATCTCCCAGACCAATTTAAAATTCCAGGACAGTGAGTACAGCTCGGCTCAGCCGCTCATGCCTCGTCCAGTCAGCTGTGGCAGAGACTTGAGAACAGGCTGTCTGAGGAGAGGTCTGGGTGAGGCGGGGCTGCTCCACACGAGGACCCTCATGGTCCTAAGTCCCCAGGTCTCTCCATCCAATGTGAAGTGTGGCGCAGCAGCACCCCTCACTGCCGGGATCCAGATGACCTTGCCCTTGGGCCTTCCTGGGAAACCGCGGGAAAACAGAGCCAACGCTAAGTTTGCGAACAGGGAAAAGCATGCTCCCCTCCCATCCCCAGCTCCCATCTCATGGTTCTTTAAATGTATTGAGCTGCCTCCTCCTCAAACATCCTGGTTCTTCCAGCTGTATCTGCAGAAACAAATCATTGTCAGCCAGTTTGGGGTTCCGGTTTCAGATGTCAGAGCCGCGTGTGGTACAAATACTCTCTACCGTCTTTCTCCCACACATGGGCAAATGCTTTAGAGAATTCAAGAAGCACCAGGAAGACGGAGGCAGCAGCCCTGACTCTGGGGACGAAGGAGTCCCAGGGAGGGCTGGGGAGAGTCTCCAAGTTAGCTGTGAGGCATGAAGGCAGTGGGGCTCTGCCAAACGCCTGTCTCATTTCTGGTAGGACCTTAACAGATGTTTTCTACATCTCTGGGCAGCTCTTAAATAGCAGCGTGAGGATTTAGGGGTGATGCAGCACAGTTTCAATGGGGAAGGTGTGAGGATGGGAGTTTGGGAACATCTTGCCTCATTGGGAGATACCAGCCAAGGTTGGGGGAATGCGTGCAGGAAAGGCCTGGGGCTGGGCTTGGAAGCTGGTGGTGGCTGTGGAACTGGGGGCTCTAGGCCTCAGCACATACCCTACATTTTTTCCTGGCCTGCTTAGGACTCATGCAGACTTGCCATAGCTATCAGGGGCCTGTGCCCCCAAATCTAAACTCTGCCTTCAGCCAGTGTACTTCTAGGGAAGGCAGGCCCCAGTCCCCAAGCTTTGCTGGCCTACTATAAACAGAGAGAAGAGGCCACCCCAGCAGAGAAAGCTCTCGTGAGTGCTGGGGAAAAGGCCATGTAGATCCAAACACGGGTAATAAGTCACTTTGTAATGAAAGAACCCAAGCCTGTAGCATCTCTCTCCGGAATCCTGAATTCCAGTCATTCATCTGAGTGACATTTGTTGAGCCCCTCCTGAGTGCCATGCGCTGTACCAGGTGCCAGGGATGCTCAGGTCCCGTCCTCCAGGCTAGCAGGGAAAACAGGCACCCACACAAACCAAGGCTTGTGGTAGGATGCGATGGAGACCCCTACAGTGCTGTAGCAGCGCCAAAAAAGCAGCAGATTCTTTTTCTTTTTTAACTTTTATTTTAGGTTCAGGGGTACATGTGCAGATATGTTATATAGGTAAATTCATGTCCCAAGGGTTTGTTGTACAGATTATTTCATCACCCAGGTTCTAAGCCTAGTAGCCAATAGTTATTTTTTCTGATCCTCTCCCTCCTCCCAACTTCCACCCTCAAATAGGTCCCAGTGTGTGTTGTTCCCCCTTTGTGTCCATGTGTTGTCATCATTTAGCTCCCACTTATCAGTGAGAACGTGCAGTATTTGGTTTTCTGTTCCTGTGGTAGTTTGCTAAGGATAATAACCTGAGCTCCATACATAGTCCCACAAAAGACATGATCCTGTTCCTTTTTATGGCTGCATAATATTCCATGGTATATATGTACCACATTTTCTTTATCCAATCTGTCATTGAGCATTCAGGTTGATTCCATGTCTTTGCTATTGTGAATAGTGCTGCAATGAACATACACATGCATGTGTCTTTATGGTAGAACGATTTCTATTCCTTTGGGTATATAGTCAGGAATGGGATTGCTGGGTTGAATGGTAGTTCTGTTTTTAGCTAAAAGCAGCTGATTCTATCTGGGGAGTCAAAGGACCCTTCCTGGAGGAGGTGATGTTTACTCTCGAGGTTGAGTAAGAGTTTAACCAAGTGGGAAAGGAAGGATATCTCACTCAGGCTGAGAGGGCGTGGCTGCCTTGGAGAAGGGTGAGACATTTGGAGTACAGGGTGATGCAGGAGGGGATGAATGTGACTGGAGCGGGGAGGAGGAGCGGCCCCTGACCTGGGCCTCAGCCTGGCCCAGTTGATCTCTTAAACTTTCTTCCAGCTCTGAATCTCTTTGCATTGCTGCTAAAGCAGCTTCCGTCTGCTTCTGACTTTCTGTGGAATAAGGCCATGTGCAGGGCGGGAGTAGGGAGTGAAGCCTTGGAGGACAGAGGTTGCTTGCTCAGGGGAGGACACAAGGTCCTGCAGTACCCAGGCTGCACACATCACCTTGGCAGTTTGTGGGCAAACCCTCCTGGCCGAAGGGAGATTGCACCGCCAGCCACTTCCTCCAGTTCCTTCCCTCTGCCTGTCGTCACGGTTACCTTGGCCTTGTTGGGGGTGAGGTTAAGGTTGGGCGGAATCAATTGCAGCCAGGTTTCTATTTTCCCAGATACAGGTCAGCCAGAGGAGCTGTCACTTCTGGTTCAGTTTCAAAGAAGGCCAAGGGACTGGGAGGTGCTTGGGTGTGGCGGTGTTGACGAGGCGCCTCTGCAGCTGACTCCCAGGTGGGGTGGGAGTCGGGCAGGGAGAAGCTCAGAGGTGGTGAGGAGGCAGAAAGGGGGCTGCCCTGCCAAGGCCTGTGCTGATGGCCGTGGTGCTGGTCTCGGGCCCAGGCACTCTGTCCTGAGCCCCCAGAGCATGCTGGGAGTGTGCAGAGAGAGGCTGTTTATTTTCCTGGCCTATAGCCCTATGGGCTGAGACCTCGTTCCAGGCCTTGGGCTGCCAGAGTCACCCCCCGCACCCTTCTCCCTGGCTGGAGAAGTGAGAGAGTTGGCAAGCCCAGGGCAATCCAACGGCTTCTCTAATGGCCTATGACTCTGGGCTGTCCCCAGCCCAGCTGGCCCTGGGTGTCCTTCAGATTTTCCTGGTAGGTAATGGACAGCAAGAGGTGCCACATCAAAGTGCTCCTGACGGACTGGGGCTGTAAGGGCTGGTGGTCAGGAGCAGGATGGTTGAAACCACAGAAATCTGAGTTTGAATCCTGACTCTGCTATTTTCTAGTTGTATGGCCTTGGGCAAATTGAACTATTGAGCCTCAGTCTCACCATCTGTAAAATGGTACAGTAATAGTAACTTCCTCATAAGACTTTGATGGTGAGGATTAAAGGATATGTGTTTAAAGCATTTAGCAAAGTAGGCAACAAATGGCACCTCTTGTTATTATTACTAATGGAACAATAACAACAGCAACTTTGATTCGAAGTCTGTGCTAGTGGGCAGTGAGTCTCCTTCTCCCCATTCGGGGGGTCCTGTTTCATGCATAGTGAATTTCTTAACATGTCCTGAGGAAGAAGCAAGCCCGGAGACTCAGGAGGCCCCTTGCTTGTGCCCCACGGTCCTTCAGCTCTTCCACAGGTGAGCATCCTAGGCTGGGGAGACTGTTAGTGACAAGAGGAAATGGATCCCAGCATTTGGAAGGACCAAGAAAGGAATATTGGGTATGGAGGGGCAGGGAAGATCTTAAATCCCAACAGAAGGTAAGTGGAGAAGACAAAGATAGTCAAGGAGGTGGAAAGGGGTGGCAATGGAATGTAGAACCTGTGTCCATGCCCAAGGCATTTTTAAAGGAAGTGCTTGGGAACGACTGGCCTGGAAAATTGTACCCAGAGGGCTTGGGCTGGGCAAAAGAAAAGGCCGTCACCGCCCGTTGGGTGCCACCTCTATATGAGTAGACTTACCAGGCTCCTGGCCTCCTGAACTCCTCATCTGGCTTTAATCCTTTTCTCTGCTTTTGCATATTCTTCCCCCAGGATGCCCACCTGTGGGAGAGCTGAGGGACCCTGGGGACAGAAGCAAGGGGCCTCCTAAGTCTCTGGGCTTGCTTCTCCCTCAGGACATCTGAACCCAGATATCTGTCTTAGTCCATTTTGTGTTGCTATTACAGAATACCACCAACTGAGTAATTTATAAAGAAAAGAAATTTATTTCTCACAGTTCTGGAGGTTGTGAAGGCCAACAGCAAGGTGCTGGTGTCTTGTGAGGGCCTTCTTGCTGCATCATCCTAGGGCAGAAGGTGGGAAAGCAAGAGAGTACAAGAGAGCAAGAAAGGACCAAATTTCCTTTTATAACAAACACCCTTTTCTAATAACAACATTAATCCATTCATTAATATTGTTACTAATCACCTCTTAAAGGTGTCACCTCTCAACACTGTTGCATTGGGGATTAAGTTTCTAACACTTGAAGTTTGGGAGACACATTCAAACCATAGCAGAATCCCTGCCCTTTTTGGCCTCTGACTCCTCCCTGGGATGCTCTAAGAGGATCCTTGGACTGGCTGGGAGATACTTCCAATGCTCCAGGCAGTGGGCTGGCAGAAGTGATCACTTGTTCACTGCCAAGACATGGGTTAGAAAGGCGAAGTTGTCCCTCTGTCTGTGTGTCAGGAGAGAAGCTGTATTCCAAGCCTGCCTCAATGTCTAATCAGTGGCTCTGTGCCCTCACAGCTAGATGAGGAAGAGGAGCGAAGGAAAAGGCGCCGGGAGAAGAACAAAGTCGCAGCAGCCCGATGCCGGAACAAGAAGAAGGAGCGCACGGAGTTTCTGCAGCGGGTGAGCTGACTGGGTGGGTGGGGAGGTCTGCCATTCCTTGGAGTGAGCTTATGTACTCTGGACCAGGACAGGCCATCAGATGTCTCTGTAGTCAATGAGCATCTGCTGGCAGCTGCCAAAGCAGCCTTGACCCCTCTGCTCTTTGCTACCTCCTGTTTCCTCTCCCATCTCTGAACTAAGACAACTAAGGGCAGCCTTCAGCAGTTCCTGCCCACACAACCCCTGGAAGCCCAAGAAGGAAGGAGGAGCCAAGTTCCCCTCCACTGAGGATAGACCCTTGGTGCTGATTGACCCAGATCGTCCAGGACTGCCACTCTCTATTTTGGTTCCCTGGTGGCTACCAAAGTTGTCTAGGGTGGGTGCCAGTGAAGCTAGGTAGTAACATCCTGCATGTAGGCACTGGACACAGCCTCTGGCCTGGCTACCTATGCACAGAGAAAAGCTCCTTCCCTTAGCTGCAGGTGGCTTATCCAGCCCTGCATGCCATCTGGCCAGCCCCTCAGCTCCACTGAAGGTGACCTCCAAGCTCTTTGATGCTGCCTCTGGGAATCAGAGGTCAGCTCTGCATGCAGAGGTCAGCCAGGGGTTGCTTTTCCTCCTGGCCCTACCTGCCCTTTCATTTGGAATGTGCCAAGCAGGATGTTTGTTCTTTTTCTCCCGAGTCCTGCCTCTTAGAGCTTCCCTGCATCTCAGAAATGGTGGCTGGCAGTGAGGGAACATGACCAGAAAGCTAATCAGTCCAGGCCAGGAGTCTCTGGTCTTTCCACCCCTAATCATTGTTTCACTGCTGAATAATAATGATAATGTATAATAATAACAGAATGGGGCAGGTCCTATTCTGTAAATACACAGTAATTAACAATAGTTGCCACTATTTGTAAAGTTGGGTGCTGTGCTAAATGCTGTATGTACATCATCTCATTTTATTGGGATAATAACCATATGAAGTGGGTAACTTCATTATTCTCTTTCTACAGATAAGGAAACTAAGGAAGTGTGGGGGCTAAGTAATTTGTCCACATTTCTGCTATATTGGCATTCATTCATTCATTCATTCATTCATTTGCTCTTTTGTTCATTAATTGATTCAACAGGTATTTTTAAGCATGTACTAAATGTGCATTCCTGTGTTGGGTACGTTCGGGGCACACAGGAAGGAGCAGACATAGTCCTCCTGTGGGAGCTGGAGAGACAAGGCTAGATTGGCCTGGTGTTCTTGGACTCTGGAGGGTCTGTGGGGATCTTCTCATACTTGCAACAAGCAGAGAGCTATTCTGTGGTCCTGGGTGTAGACGGCATGGGGCCATGTATCTACCTGCAGGCTGTGAGTGTCCAGGGCAGGGAATGGTTACTGTAGACAGGAGTTAGACTCTTGGATCTGGGAGCCCGTTGGAAGAGAGGGTGCTACAACATTGGGCTGAATCTTCAGGAAGTTTCTAAGACACGAGCCTTCAAGATGGATGAAGTGTCACATACCTCATTTCCAGCACCGAGTGCCTGCCATGAGCAGAGCTGGATGAGAAACAGCAGGGACTAGAGAAGCTTCGCGTGAGATCCCTGCCTTCAAGAGCTTGTCAGCCAATTGCTAGGCGAGATACGCCTGAGCGGATAGCATGTTAGTGACACACCAGTGCAATAAAGAGTTGGTGCCCAAGGAACGGCACTCACTGCCCTTCACATTCCAATAACACTAGCTAAGCACCTACGGTGTGCCAGGCATTTCCCATGTTTTATTTAATCCTTATAACATTCCAGTGAGATAATATTATTTATCCCCATTTTAGAGACTGACCTGTAGCTCAGAGAGGTCAAGTTACTTGGCCAAGGTCACACTGCTAGCGAGTGGTGGGCTTGGATTTATTCATGCTTTGCTGATCCACTCATCCATTTAGTAGGTGTGTAGTGAGTGCCTGGGACACAGAGGGCAGGCAGGCGGTGTCGGCAGTGGGATGGGAGGCAGGAAACAAGGAATAGTGACGTGTGCCGAGCGTTGTGTCTGGCAAGCCCAGCGAGCTGTGAGAACACACAGCAAGGGCCCTGCCCTGGTCTAAGCTAAGGAAAGGCTGCTTCCATTCAGACATAAAAGAGGAGTAGGAGCAGCGAGATGGAGGCCCTAGGGGGTTATGAGGAATGGAAGGGCTCAAGCAAAGGCAAAAGGTGCTGTTTAAGGATGTGTTTAAGGCATTGGAAAGGATACCAGCTGGAGTTTAGAGTACCAAGCGGTGGGCTGGAGAGGCAGGCAGGGCCCAGATCCCTCATAATAGGGTGATGCTAGATGCTGGGTTGCCTGAGGCATGCCCAGTCTGTGTCTGTTGTCCTGGCCTAATAATTAGTAGCCGCTTCCTTCACTCTCACAAGTGCTGCGCTAGGATGATGAATTACATGGTCATGGAGAGCCACTGAAGGGCTGCAGGAAGGGAGACGCATACCTTCCAAAGATCCCTCTGGCGGCAACGTGGGGCACAGATTGAGGTAGAAGGATCAGTTTTGGAAGTGTCGTGTTGTTCCAGTGAGAGAGAAGCGTGCGGCCTTGGGGTCTGGGAGGAGATTTGGGCAGCATTGTCTGGGCCCAAGCCTAGCCCTCCACTCACCCCTGTGTTCTCCTCCTCCTCCCCAGCCTTGGAAGCAGAGGTTGGGTGTGAAGTTTAAGGCATGAATGCAGGCGGCTGTGTTGACAGTCAGTGCCTGCAGACCTGGGGGATCCTCTTGTAGTTTATTTTTAATAGGTAAAATACAAGGCTCAGAGATACATATATTAACTGTTAATAAATATTAATTATTTTTGAAGTAAGGGTATATATACAGTTGGAACACATATCTACAGGCGGCCTTTCATAGCCAAGCATTCTGCATCTGTGATTTGACAAACAGCAGATCAAAAATATTCAGAAAAAAAAGCATCTGTACTGAACACATGCGGACTTTTTTCCTTGTCATTATTACCTAAACAACACAGCATAGCAGCTATTTACATAGCATTTACATCGTATTAGTCATTATAAGTAACCTAGAGATGATTTAAAGTATATGGGAGATATGTATAGGCGATATCCAAATAACACTCCGTTTTATATAAGGAACTTGAGCATCCTCGGATTTTGGTATCCTCGGGGAGTCCTGGGACCAATTGCCCACGGCTACTGAGAGACAACTGTATATATATATTATAGGTAAAAAACCACCGTTCCACCCTTGACCCCTGGACACCCAGATCTACACCTGCAAGATTCTTACTGCATCTCAGAGTTTGCCTGCCTAGACTAGCCGAGCCCTGAACCCAGGGAAAGAGGCAGGCCTTGGGAGGGGTCAGGGCCACACCCCACAGGCCCTGGGGCTACCTCAGTACCTCCTGCAGTCTGCAGTCAGGAGCAGTGGCCCTGAGGCTTCTGCCTTGTATAATGCTGGCAGCTTCTCTCACAATGCTGTCCTAACCCAGGTTCTTTAGATGTTAGTAGCAATAATGCTATCTCACATTCCTCTGATGCCCTCTGGTCTTCACAGCCACTCTCTCCTTGATGGTCACAGTGGCCCTGGGAGGAGGAAATGCAGTCCCATCCATTGATGAAGTTCAAGGTCACACAGTGGCCGAGTCAGGACGAGAACCTGGGGCTTCCTCTGTGCCCCACACAATATTCAGGTTGCCCAGACTCAAAAGAAATTAGGAAACTCGTTCGCAGAAGCATAGCTAGCAAGTAGCAGAGTCAGGATTTTAATCCAGACAGGTCTTTCAGGCTCAAAGGGCATATCAGGCTGCTTCTCAGCTCTTACAGAAAGTTAGTGGAATTCTATTTTATGTGCCTTAGAATAGCTTTTTAAAAATATAGATTCAGACGATCTTTTGTTGTTGCTATTGCTGTTTTTGAGACAGAGTCTCACTTTGTCACCCAGGCTGGAGTTCAGTGGCACAGTCATAGCTCACCGCAGCCTTGTACTCCCAGGCTCAAGTGATCCTCCCACCTCAGCCTCTTGAGTAGCTGGGACTACAGGCACACCACCACGCCTGGCTAATTTTCTGTTTTTTGTAGAGACGAGGTTTCCGTGTGTTGCCGAGGCTGGTCTTGAACTCCTGGACACAAGTGATCCTCCCACCTCGGCCTCCCAAAGTGCTGGGATTACAGGCGTGAGCCACCATGCCCAGCCAATTTAAACAATCTTAATGCTTAAAGTCCCCTGGGCCAATCATCATATTTTCTGGGAGGAAACTGAGGCCCAGAGAGAGGAAGTGACGTGGCCAAGGTCACACAGCCAGGATTAAAAGCCAGGACACACAGCCCTTCACCTTGTATTCTTTCTACTGCCTTTGCCGACCACAGTGTAGGAGGCAGAACCTTAACATGTACTAATTCTATTCTAAAATAACAAATGGTTTCATTTTCTCTGGGGCAATAAATATCTAACAGAAGGCAAAACAATAAAAAAAATGCAGCCGGAGGTACATGCTTCATAATTAATGCGAGAAAGATCTTCACTTAGTTCCTTCATTAATTAGGAAAACAAATTAGGTAATTGCTGTTATAAAGTCACAAACCACTTCTACAATCATGGTTTTTAAAAAAAGATTCTTCTGAACTCAACTTATACTTACACAATAAATAAATATGTAGAGCCAACTAATAACTCTTTGAGTGTGGAAGGCAGTAGAACTAAAAGGCAGTTAGTTACATCCTGGCCGGGCACGGTGGCTCATGCCTGTAATCCCAGCACTTTGGGAGGCCGAGGCAGGCAGATCACTTGAGGCCAGGAGTTCGAGACCAGCCTGGCCAACACAGTGAAACCCTGTCTCTACTAAATATATAAAAATTAGCCGGGCGTGGAGGCACATGCTGTAATCCTAGCTACTTGGGTGGCTGAGGCACGAGAATTGCTTGAACCTTGGAGGCAGAGGTTGCAGTGAGCCAAGATTGTGCCACTGTACTCCAGCCTGGGTGACAGAGCCAGACTCCGTCTCAAAAGAAAAAAAAGCAGTTAGTTACATTCTGACAGCCAGTCAGAATTTGGGATATTCCATGATGTACCCTAACATTTAAAACCCACAGAATATAATGTTCTTTGTATGATAGCTGCATGAGTGAAGCAAGTTACCCTACACTGCACTCATCTTTTTGTGTGATACAGACGCTCCCATAGAGTTGGTTTGACACGTGGTAATTTCTAGGAGGCAGATCTATGTGTGCAGTGCTATTGAATTCTGCCTGTCAGAGGCTTCCCCTTGCATGTCCAGTTTTAACTTCAAACTCACTGTACCCAAAACAAACTCCTTCTTTTCCTTCCCGCCACTTTCCAGAACAGCTCCCCTCTCAGGCTCCATTCCTCAGACCCTCCATCGGGTTCATAGTCAGCTCTCTGCCCTATCTCCTTCCTTCTCCAAATCCTGCCAGTCACCAAGATCTGCTGATTTTTATTTGAGACATCTTCCTTCTTTCCCTCCCTTTCTTCTTTATGCTATTCTCTTGCTTATAAGTTACAGTAAGCCTCTCTGTTTGGTTTACAAAGTGCTTTTCCCTGTGAGTTCATCTAATCCCCAAGAGCCTCACCTGGCTGCAAAAGAAATAACTGAGGCTCAGAGAAGTTAAGAAACTTGCTTCTAGACTCAGATTCTCAACCCACAAGCTTTCCAGAGCTACGGGCTGGCTCTCAACCCACCTTCTCAGCTTTCTACCCTACTATGTCCTAAAGCGAGCTGTGGTCACAGTGGAATAGTTTTCCCTTCTCAACCCATCCTAAGCTTTCCCATGCCTGGGTCTTTGTTCACTCAGGGTTCTCCACCCACAAGTCCCTCCTTCCCCTTCTCAACCCAGCCTGAGTCAACCCATCTTTCATGCGCAAGGTCAGACCCGCTCTTTAGCCCTCTCTAAGGTCTTCTGAACCCTGGGTGGCTGATGGTCACACAGCAAGCTCTGCCTTGTTGCACAGATTGCTGCTTCCGCTTACGGTGGAAACGCCACAAGAGCCAGTTGGGGACTCATGGCCCTTAGATTCCCCGGGGCATTCACTGTACATAGCAGGGCCTCAGCAAACACTCACGGATAGGTGGGTTACCCTGACACTCCTTGAATCGGAGGCTCAGGAGAGTTTGAAGATGGAGCTAAGTCCTTGGGCTGGGGACACCGTGATGGTCAGAGGGTTTGTAAGAAGTTCCCAAGGTCACCAGAGAGTCACCAGTGAGCAGGGGGCTGACACTGGCACCTAACTGCCCCAGCCTGAGGGCTCACAGGCTTCCATGGATTCACACGGGGTCTCTCCTGGCCCTCCGAGATGCGCCTCTCTGGGAATTCTCAGAACAGAGGACCAGGCCAGCTTCCCAGTCACGTCCCAGCCTGTGGAACCAAAAACCACCAGAGCTGGTTTTTAATATTTTCCCTGAGCATTTTTTTTTCCTTTAGTGAGGCTGTTTTCTCTCAGCATCTGGTCACGAGGCCTGCCCGTCTCAGCAGTTCTGAGTTCCCAGGCACTCATGCTGCCGCCTCGGAGATGAGCACAAGGAACAGTTCGGTCAGACTGGCTGTGGGAGGAAGACGGCACCCTTGGAGGGAGAGGGTTGGGCCCACCGAGGGTTCTGGGGACCCCCTGGGGAGGCCGCTCCACCTGTGCCCTGCCAGGAGGACCAGCAGGCTTATGGGCTCACAGGCCCTCTGGTTGTCACATACGCAGCTGCAACTACTGCTTGCTCTTTGATACAGGTTGCTCAATCTCTGCACTATCGCCATTTTGGACTAAATACTCCTGGGGCTGGCCTGTGCATTGAAGGGTGTTTAGAGCATCCCTGGCGTCTACCTGCTAGATGCTGGTAGCACAGCTCCCCCTGAGTTGTGATAATCAAAAATGTCTGCAGACATTGCCAAATGTCTCCTAGGAGGCAAAATCAGTCCTAGTTGAGAACCACTGGTCTGAAACTTTGCTGGTCCTCAAATAAATGTCAACTCTCAAAGTTTTTAGACATAATCCAAGAAAAATTATTCGGATGCTGTTTTACTGTTCAACTCCCCAAGCCTTGAATGGATATGCCCATCTCCCATCTACACTATGGACATGTAATCCTCGCCACCTCCCGAATCAAATCGTCAACCTTCCTTTCTTCCCCTGGAACCTCTCCAGCTGAGCTGGAAGTTCCCTGGAAATCTCACTCGAGGTCTATTGGAAACCTCATTTGGGATCCAGCAGGATGACTGCTGATTCCCTGTCTGTGGGGAAAGCTTCCAGATTATAGGGATAAGGAAGAGGCTATTGAAATAATTACAGACTAATAGCTAGGAAGCACATGTTTTAGAAGGAATAACATGACCACACTGCACTCACTCATCCCACCGGCCAAGATATCTCCCACATGTGTCTGTCACACATCAAAGCACATTGCCATTACACCGCCATCTGTGTCCCCCTTCAGGGACCCCCATGCTTGCTCCATAGACGTTCTCTAGGTCCACCTGGCCTCCTTTCTTTGCCCACCCTTTCTTTCTTGTGCAAAGGCCCTGAGGCAACAGAGTATTTGGCATATTTGAGCGATAGCAAGGCGGTCACTGAAGCTGGGGTGGATCGAGGGAGGGAAGAGAGGTGGGACGTGAGCCTGGCTGGCCCTAGAATATAACCTGAATGTAACGCCAGTGTCACCGCTGTGGCGGGCACTGCCTGCAGAAAGTCAGTTAGCCAGGGGCTCAGGAGCAGGGTCTGTGCTTCCTCCTGCAGAAGACAGGCCAGTGCCAGCCCAGCATGCCCTGTGCCTCACCACAGAGCCAGTCCCCGTGAAACTCACAGCATGCTTCTGTGTTTGCACACAGGAATCGGAGCGGCTGGAACTCATGAACGCAGAGCTGAAGACCCAGATCGAGGAGCTGAAGCAGGAGCGGCAGCAGCTCATCCTGATGCTGAACCGACACCGCCCCACCTGCATCGTCCGGACCGACAGTGTCAAGACCCCTGAGTCAGAAGGCAACCCGCTGCTCGAGCAGCTCGAGAAGAAGTGACCATGGGCTGGGAGGAGGTGGAGGAGGAGGAAGAGGAGGAGGACAAGTGACGAAGAGGGAGGAGGAGGGGGGCCCCAGATGGCCCTTCCTTTGGTGCATGAAAAACTGTACAATGAGGTTCAGCACAGCCAGCATCAGCCGAGCTTTTTTGTGAAACTCAGATCAGCCACCCAGGGGGAAGAGCGGGCTGAGGAAACCCAGAGGGACCAAGCGCTGAGACCAAAGTTGACCCTCGGGTAGGGCTGTCCTGCCTGGGGCCCCACTGGAAGGAGGCAGGACAGAGGCACCGAGGCCAGGGAGACGCCCAGTGAGGCAGCCCTGGGCCCTCCTCCGGCCTCTTCACCAGGGCACCCACCCGAGGAACCTCCGAACAGCCAGGAAAAGCCATGAGTTGCAACCAAAATGAGGCTGAGGACAGAACTCAGAATGAAACTGCAACCCACCTGCCCCCAGCCCTGCCCCTCACCCTGATGCGAAGCTGGAGAGGGGCGTGCTGCAGGGCCCTGATGCCCCCACCCACCTCGGTCCAGCGCGGCCCTGCCCAGGAGGCGGCAGCCGGGCGCACCCTCGCCGGCCCTGCTGGAGTTTGCTGTGGGCACTGAGGCGCGGGCGCCCTTCCAAAGCACATACTCACCGAATGTTTACAGACTGGCTGTCCTGGCAGGGCTTTCAACTGCACATGTTTTTTATACTTTCCTTTTTTTTTTTTTTTTAATATTTTTTACAAAAAAAAGATTTTATACAAGCAATATATATATGGATTTCTATAATCACTCGATGTGATACAGTATAAATATGCTATGGTTTGTTTGTTATGAACAGATAGCCACCAGTTACGGCCGTTGTGTGTAACTCCTAAGTACTGTAGTCTCTGGGTGTCGGGGGTGGCCAGGGCGGGGGCGGGGTGCATTTCCATCCTTGTAAACCCTTCATAGTACTCAGTCCTGTATCGCTCAGTAAACATTGCTCTTACGTACACAGCCGCCTTGCGTGGTGTCTGCCTGGGGAATGGGTGCAAGGCCCTCTCAGAGTCAGAGACTGTTTGGCACCTCTGCTGTAGGCCCTTTTGCTCTCACGACAGCTCTCCTATTTCACAGATGAGGAAGCTAAGGCTCAGAGACATTAAGCCACCTGCAGTTACTATTCTGAGAGCAGTCCGTGTGTTCACTCACTCTGCAGGTGTTTTCTGAGGGCCTGTTTTGTGTGCCAGGCCCTGAGAATTCACTGGAGGATGAAACAGACCTGAGTCTTGCCCTCTTGGGGCCTTCAGTAAGGAGTGAATCCTGTGCTTGCTCCACACATTGTCTCATTTCGTCTTCATGGCAGCCTTGCCAGGGAGCAACACTTGTCCCCAGCTCACAGATGGCGAATTAGAGGCCCAGGGATATTAAACTCGCAGCCACCATTTGTTGAAGACTTATTTTGTGACAAGCAGACATAGTCTCTTCCCTTCTCACAACAGCACAAAATAGGCATGATTCTTGCTGTTTTACAGACGATTTAACCGAGGCTCAGGGAAGGTAACCGACTTATCCAAGGTCACTCAGCTAGCAAGGGACAGAGCTGGTGTTTGAACTCTACCTCCAGAGGCCTGTGACTTTCCTCCTGTCACCAACCCACTATGATTGTCCTCGTGGTTTCTGGGAAGGCTGGATGGAGTTTCAGGTTGTCCCATGATCACAGAGTGAACCAGCTACTCTGGTCAATGTGTGCCTGACCCAGGGAAGGGTGTGGACAGCTTCTCCACCCCCTCACCCCCACAGCTGAATCCCTGCCACCCAGAGCCGGAGCAGCTCAGTGGCATTCACTCAGTGCCTGCTGTGTAGCTGGCACTCGGCAGTTCTCAAGGCATGTCATGCATGAGGAAGGCGGGAGAGGTGTTTTTAGCTCCCTTGTATACTGAAGCTTGCAAAGGCTACAGTTTACCCAACTAAACTTGACTCCTGCATTCTAATCATGTGCTCTTTCTCCTCCATTGCTGGACTTAGGATAACTAGTTGCTGGTGATGACTCGTGTCAAGAACAGCAGTGAACCTGGGTTGCTTCCCAAATCGTGGACGAGGCCTTCTGGGATGGGCAGAAGTGGAGAATGGTGATTAACACACCTGTGGTCCCTCCCTCGCTCACTCCTCAGTTTCTCTCCACTCAACACACTTGTCGTGGACTCCCCTGCACCCCGCCCTAGAAACAGGACCTGGTCCCCTCACTGTCAGCTGTGGCAGAGGGTTGTGGCAGCGGGTTGCCTTCTGACTCGGGGGTCTTGATGCTGTTGGTCCGGACGATGCAGGTGAGGCAGTTCTGTGTCAAGAACCCCTTGCGCTGTAATCCTTTGATATTTTTCAAACCATGAGAAAAATGAAGTGGACTTACCAGGGTCCCTCCAGTGACCTAGTGGATGTTCTTGCAGGACTGCCACGTGCCACTGGCTGTGGCTCCCCTGGTCCTGTGCTTGGCCACCAGGAGCTGGCATCTCCAAAATACAGCCTCCTTAGCCTATTTGACAGCAGGTGCGCTGTCTTTCAAAGTCACCACACCAGTGACTTGTGCTGTGCGGAGCCTTCCTCACCAGGACCACTGGCCACTCCTGTGGCCAGAAGTCACAATTACAGGCTTCATTGCAAGAGCCAGCATTTGAGTTTGTTCTGGGCACCTGCCACCGTGCATGTGTGACCTCAGCTGCTTTGTGCAGCCTGGCTGGGAGGTAGGTACTAGCATCCCAACATTACAGATGAGAAAACTGAGGCACACAGAAGAGGTAACTTGCCCAAGGTCACAGGTGTTAGGTGGTAGAGCCAAGATGTTATTGCCAGTCTGACTTCAGGTGCATAAAACCTGAGGCTGAGCCTCCCCATGAGAGGAAAAATGTGTTTGTGGTGTGACCTCAGTTGCCAGGGAGCTTGTACAGGAAGCCGGGAGAGATGGCACAGACCCACCCGTGCTCACAGCGCATATCAAGAATTCCCAACCCTCAGGCAAACCATCTCCAAGAGTGTGTACAGAAAACACACCTTAAAGGCAAATGGGTTCATGATGTAATCTATTGACTAGCTGTGAGCCTCATTTTTCTTATCTGTGAAGTGGGAACAGTAATAATCCAAGTCCTTCTATGGAGTTATCAGGATCAAAAGAGGAATGGATATACGAAGTGTTTTGTGAAATAAACTCCCCTAAAATGGTAATTATTTTGTCCTCTGTTAGCGTGGATAGTTGTTGATATTTACATAGTACAGTTATTTAAATATGTTTTATTCTCTAAAGATGGGCTGCCAAGTTTGTGTTCTGACCCTGTACGTGGTCCCTATGGTGTAACGAATGCCTGAGATCCCAGACTCCTGGATCTGTTCAGCTCCTGACTGGACAACTAGCCATGCTGGATGCATCATTCCCTCCCTGGGCCTCAATGTGCCCTCTTGCCAGGTGGTCATAAATAAGACCTGTGCCACCTCTGCCCAGGGTTCCTATGAGAATCAATCGAGTTGATGAATGCAACCATGGCCTGAGAAAGACAAGACACTTTAGCCATCAGATGGGCAGAAAAAAGTATGTGTTGGTAAGAATATGGAGTAAAGGTTGGGAGGCTGAGGTGGGCGGATCACAGGGTCAGGAGATCGAGACCACCCTGGCTGACACAGTGAAACCCTGTCTCTACTAATAATACAAAAAATTAGCCGGGTGTGGTGGCACGGCCTGTAGTCCCAGGTACTCGGGAGGCTGAGGCAGGAGAATCACTTGAACCCGGGAGGTGGAGGTTGCAGTGAGCCGAGATCGCGCCACTGCACTCCAGCCTGGGCGACAGAGCTAGACTCCATCTAAAAAAAAAATATATATATATATACACACACACACACACACACACGCACACACAAAAGGATTAAAGGAAATTTACATATCCTGCCAGTGAGAAACTGTGCAAAACAATTTGGAAATAACCAGTAACACTAAAGCTAAACACATCCTTTGACCTAGCAGTTTTCCTCCCTAATCTTGGAAGGAACTCTAGCACAGGGGCAAAAGGAAATGTGCGAGAATGTTCACTGATGCTTTGTTTGTATTTTTAAAAAAAGTTGACAATAACCAAATGACATAAGAACAAATAAATTGTGGTATTTTCCTAAAATTGAATATTACTCAACAGGTAAAAAGAATGAACCAGAGTTGTATGTATCAATGTGGATAAATCTCAGAAACCTACTGTTGAGATGGAGGGTAGGGGAGTGAACTGCACAAGGATACCACTAGTGTCATATTTCTAACTAAATGTATACGTTGATACTTTGTTGTTTATGGCTACACACAGATCTGGGTATAAAAGCCTGCACAAGAATGCTGTCAATATCACAATCAGTCATAGGGAGTGTTCTTGGGAGGGCTGGGGAGAGGAGGGAACTAGGGATCACGGCAAGGGTAAGTAGGACGCTGGATTTCAACTTCAACTCTACACATAACATTTCATTTGTTTTTTAAAAATCCCCATCAAATGTAGAATGACATTAGGATTTTTCAGAGGTGGGTGATGTATGCACAGATGAGGGCTGTCTTCTTCACACTCCTCTGTATGCTTGATATATTTTGCAATAAAAGAGAACAAGCCACAATACAAATAGGAGGTTTTGTTTTTATTATTTCCTTAGCAAACGCAGGAAAATAAAAACAAATCTGAAATTACAATGGAATTGCAGCATATGCTCTTTGAATTTATGCAAATTTAATTATATGCCTGAAGAGAGAGAGAGACAATTCAAAGGGTGGAAAGAGGTTAGCTGGTTGAACCCTGGGGGAGGGTGACCGGGGGGTGAGGACACCTTAACGAGTGTTGCTCTGCTCTGCACTCAGTGGATCCTGGTCCCTGCTCTCTACGGGAGGGGCAACTAGGGTGTGTTCAAGGTTCGTCTGGACAATAGACTTCTTCCTTACCTGCTGACTTTTCAATCCAAGCCCTACTCGAAAGCCAACTGTACTGCGCCTGTAAGAGGAGCTGTGGACTGGACGGTGAGCAAAGGGGAAGCCTTTGAAGACAGAACCCAGTTTTGACAGGTATGTTCATTTTCTATTGCTGCCATAATAAACTATCACAGATTTAATCCCTTAAAACAACACAAATTTTGTCTTACAGTTCTGGATGTCCAAAGCCCAAAATGCTTCTTACTGGGCTAGAATCAAGGGGTCAGCAGGACTGCGTTCTTTTTGGAGGCTCTTGGGGAAAATCCACTTTCTTGCTTTTTCCAGGTTTTGGAGGCTGCCCGCATTCTACCTTCAAAGCCACCAGTGGCCACACATCTTTCTCACCCACTGCTATGACACTGACTCCCTGCCTCCCTCTTCCCTCCCTCCTCCATCTTTTTTTGTTTGTTTGTGTTTTGAGACAGAGTTTTGCTCGTGTTGCCCAGGCTGGAGGACAATGGCACGATCTCAGCTCACTGCAAACTCCGCCTCCCGGGTTCAAGGGATTCTCCTGCCTCAGCCTCCCGAGTAGCTGGGATTACAGGTGCCCATCATCACGCACAGCTAATTCTTTGTATTTTTAGTAGAGATGGGGTTTCACTATGTTGGCCAGACTGGTCTCGAACTCCTGACCTCAGGTGATCCACCCGCCTCGGCCTCCCAAAGTGCTGGGATTATAGGCATGAGCCACTGCGCCCAACCTTCCCTATGTCATCTTTTAAGGGCCATTGTGACCACATTGGGCCCACCCCACTAATCCAGATAATCTCCTTATTTTAATGTGTGCTCATTAGCAACCCTAATTCCACCTGCAACCTTAATTCCCCCTGACCACGTGATATATTCATAGGTTACAGGGATTAGAAGGTGGACATCTTTGAGAGGAGATTATTCTGCTCGCCACAGTGGGATATTCAGAATTGAAGGTTCTTAACTATTAGGTTGGTGCAAACGTAATTGTGGTTTTTGCCATTAGTTTTTAAAGCCAAAACAGCACGTCCGCCTTACCTAATTCTCCAGGTGGAGGATTTGTGACTCT